CAGGACCCGCCGCTGCCTCCGACCCCACTGCCGCCTCCCACCTCCCCTCTTCTCACCATCTGCTGTTCCTTAGCCAAGTGGCTTTGGGGGCGCTGGTGGGGGCCTGGGGACCCTCCTCCCTCGGTAGAGTGGGCGTGGGTGACTGGCACAGGGTGGCAAGTGCCAGGCAGAGGCTGAGCCGGAGGGTGTTGAGGAGGGGGCCCTATGTAAGGAGAGCTGGGGACTGCTGGGGCGCTTTAGGCGCGGGTGGCCTTTGCCCACCTCATGCAGCTGCCCCCGGTCATGGCAACCACAGGCGGTGGCGGAGGGCAGGCAGCAGGAACAAGGCCAGACCACCGACCCTGGTGGTGGCACTGCAGACCCAACACCGCTCTTCCATGCACTTCAGGGACGGCCTTTCGGTGTCTGAAACCAAGGACGCGGGAATCGGTAGCGACAGTAACTGGATAAATGGTCTCGGTATACACACACACACACACACACACACATACACACTGCAGTCACATGACCCTAACTCTGCTGGGGGGGCACGTGACGGTAGTCCCCTGACTGTCCCCTCACTTCCCAGGGGACAGGGCACCAGCTGGAAAGCCTCCCTGCCACGTGGTGGAAGGGTGGTGGGAGGTGTGGGGCAGGACTTGGGTTGCACCAGGAGGTGATTAAGGAGACCCTGGAAGATGCCACACAGCAGAGAGGTTCCTGACCCCCTGGGCTCGGACCCCTTTCTGCCTCGTTCCTCGCTCTGTGCCCTCGAAGCCCTGTTTTCCTTGCCGTAAAGTGGACAGTCAGGCTCAGTGCCTTGCCTGGCCTTTCACACACACACCGCCACCCCACCCCCACCCCCTGTCACGTGCCATCACTGCAGCGCTTCCCTTGCCGCCTCCTCCCTTGGCCGGTGGACCCCAGCCCTAGAGTGCAGGGGCGGGTGAGAGTTGAGACACGGAGAACCATCTGAATGTCACCCCATCCCACCTCCCCACTTAACCCAGGTAGCTAACCCCTCCTGCAGTGAGACCAAAGGTAGCCCACGTGGCGGAAGGATCCCAAGTCGGACTGCTCACAGCAAGGTGGGCAGGGCAGCTCCCTGGGAGGAAGAGGAGGCGGCCTGGTGCTCCTGTGAAAGCTGGCAGCCTCAGGGGACGCACAGAGGCGGTTCTAGGACTCACTGGCAGGGAGTTTGAGAAACAGGACCCCAGGAAGGCAAACATCCTCAAGGCCACCAGTAACCACGGGGTCATCATCGTTCTCAATAAACAGTGACTCGTACCTTTTACGAATTGGTACTACTGCTGGAAATGCCCACAACCCAAACCCGGCCACAGGTCTACCAGTGGCCAGGACACCTCAGCACCTGGCTGGCCACCTCCCACCAGCCCCACCCACCTCCCAGGAGCCTTTTGAGTCTGGTGTCAAAAGCAACCCCCACCTCCTAACCCCTCCCGCTTCTCTCCCCGCAGCCAGTGGGGACATCCCTCATGTCAGACTGCCCGCCCCCCTCCACTGGTGACCAAAAGCACCCTGTGCACCGCCTGGTCACAGCCGTCTCCAGGTTGGGCTGGAGGGGCCAGCCAAGATGCTCTGGAGCCAGAGTTTAAAAAGGCTCCTTCACTTTCAAGAGACCTCACCACCTCCAATGGCTGACCCAGGGCAGCTGGAAGCCACACACTACTGGCCAGCCCCCTCCCCTCCCCACCACTGTCTCACCATCAGGCCCCCCTCTCCCCTGTCACCCTCCTTCTCTTCAAGTCCTCCTCTGCCGAAAGCACACCTCCAAGGGCAGGTATTTGTGAGTGCAGCGTGTGAGCGAGCATGTGTTTAGAGGCTGTCCGTTCTTTCAGATGCTGAGATACACACACACACACACACACACACACACACACACCTGCCTTCCCCATCCCACTTCCTAACCCTCCGTGAGAATAAGACTCAGGTGCTGGGCTCAGGGTAGACCTACCGGGTCAGCCTGCCCTGCCCTGAGAAGGGCCTCATGGGAAGTTTTTGCATCAGGATGAGGTGGGGACCAATGGGCCGGGTCCGGAGAAGCCCCGGTGGCCCAGAGGTTAAATTACTTGGCTAAAACAAAACAATTATTTGGCTGCAAACCGAAATGTCCATGGTTTCGACCAAGCAGCGGCTCCCAGAAAGATGTACAGCCCTGGAAATCCGAGGCGGGGTGGTTCTACTGTGTCCTCGAGGGTGGCTGTGAATTGGAATTGGCAGGTGTGGTTTGGACTAGATGCGTACAAATCCGTGGAGATACAGATGTGGACTCTTTCTCCAGCATCAACACTGTGGGCCTTCTTGTTAGGCACTGTCGGGTCAATGCCCACTCATAGCGACCCCTGGGACAGGGCAGAATGGCCCCAAGGGGGTTTCTGGGCTGTAACATGATGGGAGCAGATTGCCACATCTCTCTCCTGTGGACCTGCTGCAGCACCACCAGTGCTTAACCACTGAGCCACCAGGGCTCCAACCACGTTTATGAGTGACTTCCTCTAACCCTCCCTGCTGCCAGCTGGGACAGGCATTATTTCCATTTTCTAAAGCACTTTATTGATATATATCATTCACGTATCATACAATTCAGTAGTTTAATCCTATTAAAAAGAGTTCTGCAGACAAATTAATAATAAATTTGTAAATTATCAAGGGTTCATGGGGGGGGGGGGGGGGAGGGAGGGGGAAAATGAGGAGCTGATACCAGGGGCTCAAGTAGAAAGCAAATGTTTTGAGAATGATAATGACAACATTTGTACAAATGTGCTTGACACAATGGATGGATGAATGGATTGTGATAAGAGTTGTATGAGCCCCTAATAAAATGATTTTTTTTAAAGTTCTGCAATCAACACCACAATCAATTTGAACACATTTCCTCCTTTCTTGGATCCATTGTTAGTAGTTCCCACTGTGCTGTGATCCGCAAGGTCAGCAGTTCAAAACCACCAGCCCCTCCGCTGGAGAAAGAGGGGGCTTTCTACTCCTGTAAAGGGTTACAGTCCCGGGACCTCACAGGGCCAGTTCGACGCTGGCCTAGAGTCTCTCTGATTTGGCCTCAACTCAACGGCAGTGAGATTGGCTTGTTTTTGGCCCTGCCATACACCGTAGAAACTATTCATCCAGTTACTGCCTTTCTATATTTGCCTGCTGCTTCCATTTTTCTTGAGAGGGAGCCCCGAGCACAGAGAATGTTAGCCAGAGCGATTGTTCTAAGTGCCTGCTCACTGACTCAGCATCTCCGGGGAGTGGGCCCTGGCACTCACTGATACGGCCCTCCCATTCTGGAATCAGATAGGCTTGAAGCACTGGGCTCGGCCCATGACCACTCAGGCCAGGAACCAGCAGCAGGTTCTGGGTGGCAGTTGAATCGCTATCCCTCTGATTGATGGTTCCTACCCTACACCCCCACACCCCTATTTCCCTCTCCCGCTTCATAGTGGCCAGACCACCACCACCACCGCCACCACCGGAGCCCAAGATTGAGGCTGAGCCAGAGCCCCCACCTGAGCCCCAAGTAGTCGCTGAGGAGCCTGTCGAAGAAGAGCCACCGCCACCGCCACCCCCACCCCCGCCACCCCCACCCCCGCCACCCCCACCGGTTCAGAAGCAGTTGATTGTTGGCATCAATGGGTGAGTGGGTCTCTGCCCTGGCCCCTGAGCTTTCCCTGAACCCTCAGAGCCCTGTGCCTCTTCTGGTTACACACTGGGGCTGGGGGTGGGGGGTGGGGTTCCTTGTTTTTCTCACCATGCCCTAGAGGCACAAGCAGGAATAAGGCAGCCCAGGGTCCCTGCCCTTACAGAACTTAGATCCCGGTGGGAAAATAGGCATCGGATGAGCGAAGGAGTCCCGGGGCGTGGATCGTGGAAGGCAGCGGTGTGATAAGACTGGAGAAGAGAGGCCCCTGGGAGAAAGTGACATTGGAGAAAGGCCTGAGTGGCAAAAAGCACCCGGCCATACATCCAGCTGACTGGGGAAAGAGGCCCCCCGGGTGGAGGAGTGAGCAATGGCTTGTGTGGGGAGGGGCCGGGCTCTCATTCAGGGACGGCAGATGGTCAGTGTAGCTGGTGGCAAACCAGCAGGGTGGAGGAGGAAAGTTAAGCCCAGGATTTGGGGTCTTGTTTTCATGATTTTGGGGTCTTGTTTTCATGATCTTGGAGGATTTAGGACAAGAGACTTGTCCTTTTAAAGATCCATCCAGCTCAAGGTGGAAAATTGCGGGGGGGAGGGGGGGGACAATAGGAGAAGGATGGGCAGAGAGGAAGCAGTAGACACAGTTATGAAACTGGGGGGTGGGGTGGTCATCTGGGCAAGAAATGCTGGTGACCCACACAAGGGGGGGTTGCCGCTTTCCCTCAGATTGCAGACACTCCCCACACCCAAGCCCCTTGAGTGGACCTGCACCCCACTCCTCTCCCACCCACTCTCTGCCAGAGGATGCTCTGAGGATGACCTTACAATCCTTGTCCCCCGGGCAGATTTGGACGCATCGGCCGCCTGGTGCTGCGTGCCTGCATGGAGAAGGGCATTAAGGTGGTGGCGGTGAATGACCCCTTCGTTGACCCAGAATATATGGTGAGCAGCAGGGAATATGGTGGGCACGCAGGGCGGGGCCAAGGTTGGGGGTAGGTGGTTCCAGGGAGCTCCCGGGAAGAAGACTGCCAGCTGCCACGTGGGCAGCCCACACCTTCCCCAGTGCAGGGCTCCAGGAGGACGCTGGCCCCTCGGTCCATGTGGCCCCAAGGCTAGGGTCCATTCTGTCTCCTGCAGGTGTACATGTTTAAGTATGATTCCACCCACGGCAGATACAAGGGCAGTGTGGAGTGCAAGAACGAACGGCTGGTCGTGGACAAGCAAGAGATCACTGTTTTCCATTGGTGAGACTGGCTGCTGGCCCAGGGAAATGACCCCAACAGGCTGGCGTTTCCAAACAAGGCCATCTCCGACTCAGAGCGGCCCTCCCTAGGGTTTCTGAGGCTGTCCAGCTTTACAGGAGCAGACAGCCTCATCTCCACCCCCTACCCCCACCCACCCCGGGGAAGCTGGTAGGTTTGAACCTCTGACCTACCAGTTCCAGTGACTTCCCATCGCCCTACCAATAGGATCCCAGCACTAGGTGCCCCACCCAGCAACCCTGGTCACACTGACCACCTAGTTACATCTTGGGACCTGTCTCACAATGGGTGTGAGGAGGAGGAGGAGGAGGAGGAGGAAGAGGAGGAGGAGGAGGAGGAGAAAACTAGCAGTAGCAGCACCTGAGTCTGTTTAAATTCACAAGGGGACATGGTGAGAATCACCCCAAAAGAGTCAGCCTACAGTGGAGTCCCATGAGGTGGCGGTCAGACAGACCTCCACCCTCCCACCAAGTCTCCCCCAACCTCTTTTTGAATATCAGTTCTGTCCCCAGCGATCCTGACCACGGCGCTCTCTGCTTCCCTCCAGGGGTTCAGTGGCCCATGGTCACGTGCAGTGCTCATGTAGGGCTCACAGACCACACTTATGGTTTATTAAGGAATTATGTGGGGTCGGGCCAACAGACCGTCCAATTCAGGATCAGGATCAGGAAGTGTATAAGCCGAGTCTTCCTCCTTCAGTGCAGACCACCTCTCCCAGGTGGTCTCCCCAGGGCCGGCCTCCTCTCAGGGCCCCACAGATAGGCTGTGCCCAGCACCCCAACAACAAGTTCCTCTGACCATCTGTTACCAATGCTCAGTCGCAGGGCCTTTTCTGGCCTGTCCCTGCCAGCTCTGGCACGGGGCCCTTCCAGGCCTCTCAGTGTCTTCACCAGAGTTACAGTTTTTGCTTGTAGGGTTTTTTGCCTGCTTCTGTTTGGAAAAACCTCTGCGGTTAGCAGCTTCTACACCCATTCCTCATGTATCGACATGGTTAGGTTCCAAAATCCAGGTCATTGGGCAGCAATCGATGTTGTGCACAATGGCAGATGGCGACCTCAGATCGCCAAGTGGAAGTTGGCTACATCACTGCACACGTGCCAACCCACGGATGATTAGAACTGTAACACCTCAGGGCCAACATGACCCTCGCCTCATACCTGGCAGCCATTACTGCCAGAGGTATGTCATTCATTTCTTTTTTTTTTAACTCTTGTTGGAAATGCAAAATGTCAGCTACGTTGATAGTTCAGGAGTTGGTTAGCTGCCCTGTTTCCCTGAAAATAAGACAGTGTCTTATATTAATTTTGGCTCCCAAAGATGCGCTAGGTCTTATTTTCAGGGGATGTCTTATTTTTCCATGAAGAAGAATATGGTACACATTTATTGTTGAACAAAAAAAGGAAATTTATTACCTGCATACGGTACGGTAGTAGTTGTCATCACAAACCAGCATACCCAGACAAACTGTGAATCCTACCTCTTGTTGCTACCATTATTTCCATGTACAACAATCTATGGTACATTTACTCATTTATTCAATGACAGTCATGTCATCATCTTCTGGAACAACATAACAATCCAAACCCTTATTTTCGGGGAGGTCTTATTTTCGGGGGATGCCTTATATTTCAGCGAGAGGCAAAACTGTAAGTCAGTCTTACTTTCAGGGAAAGAGAGTACAACCCCCTTGTCAATTTCAAGAACTGGCCCTCCCACCAGGGTCAGGAACCAACCAATCCCCTCTGAGCAGGCCACAGGCTCTTCATTTACATAGGAGGCTACATCTATCCCTGCCAGGTACCTGCCTGCAGCCAAGGGCCAGCCAAAAAATATCATACCCAGTTGTTCACAGCTGACCCAGCAAGTGCCAATCAACCTGGACAAAAGTGGAAACCCTCCAGGGTAGAAAATCAGGGCCAAGGTAGCTCCCGGGGCTCAGGGCAGAACGCTCTCCAGCAGTTTCCAGCTGTTTTCCCAGAGAACCAAGGCCAAAGGCCACACAGAGAAACTCACTTCAGCATATTGGGCCAGTACTGGCTTCTAAAGACCCACTTCATTGTTGAGACTGCTATTAATATTCATCCTTCATTGAAAGGTGCTCAGTCAAAAGAACTACGACTGGCTGTGTGATATAGTTCAAATGCATTTGCAGGATAACCAGAAAAAGGAAGAATCTACAAAATGGAAAAAAGGCAAACCCACCTACCTTCCTAATGCCTATTACTGGCCACTGCTAGCTAGGAGCCCTGGTAGCCTAGTGGAGTAGGCACTAGGCTCCTAACTGGTAGGTCTGTAGTTCAAAACCACCAGTCACTCCATGGAAGACAAGGAGGCTCTCTCCTCCTGTGAAGACTGACAGCCTTTGCAACCCAAGGAGGAAGTTCGCCCCTGTCCTACAGGGCTGCTTCAATAGCAGTGACTTTGGTTGGCTCTTCTATGCCCCCACACACTGGGGTCTAACCTCTCCTCAGCCCTAGCCCATGCCCAAGGCAGGCCCCTCCCTCCCCAGCTGGCCTACCTCAGTACTTCTCTCTTTCTTGGAGTCGATTCTAACTCACAGTGTCCACTAGGACAGACCAGAATCACCCCTGTGGGTTCCCAAGACAGCAAATGCTAGGACAACAGAAAGCCTCGTCCTTCTCCCCGGGGACAGCTAGTGGTTTAGAGCGCTGACCTGGGGTTGGAAGCTCAATGCATAACCACTAGAGAGAGAGGTAAAGAGGGGCGGGGTGGGTTTATAATCAAGTGAGGGGGTGGAGTGGGGGACTTGGGACAGAAGAATGTCATTGCGGACAGAAGCAGCTGCTGGACCTGGGTGTGAAATGCCACCCACGGCTCCAGCAGCACAGTCACAATCGGGCATTGCCACCCCAACCTGCACAGCACCGGTACTGAAACAGGGGGCCTGCTCCCCTTTCTCCTCGCCCCACACAGCCCCTAGTATGCCCCAAGCACCTCCCTCTCTCTCTCTCCCCAGCCCACTCTGGCCACACTGTGTGTCTACTTGACCCTGCCCGCCCCCTCCTAGCTGCGTAACCTTGGGCAAGGGATGAAACAAACACCCGCGGCTGTTTCCTCAAATATGGTGGAGCTGGGACCCACCAGAGTTAGCACATGTGGGTGGTGTCCAGTGAGGCGGTCTGCTACAGAGCAGTCACAGTGAGTTGGGACCCACTTGAGGGCGTTGGGCTGGGTTCGAGTTTGGTTCTGACGTCCAGCTCGTTGGTGCCCTCTGGCGACAGCCCGCCTGCTGCAGGAGCAGAAGGACTGGGAAAGCTGGGGATGCCGAAGGCATGTCACCTCTGGACAGCCTGCAGAGAAAGGGTCTGGCCTGCCCAGGAGTAATTAGCCTGGGGTGGTCCCCTGAAGAAACGGAGGTGCAGGTTGAGGAGATGACGGCTTGTACCCAGGCCAAAATGTGGCCCTCAAGTTGGGGCAGTGGTGAGAGACAAAGCCGGCAATGGAGCGGGGTTGGTTGGGACAGGCAGGTGGCCTGTGACTGCAAAAGGTGGGATCCTCCCAGGAGAGGCATTGGCCCACAGCTGCGACTCCCTCCACAGCAAGCAGCCCAAAGAAATCCCCTGGAGTTCAGTGGGGAACCCCTATGTGGTTGAGTGCACAGGCGTGTACCTCTCTTTAGAGGCAGCTTCGGTGAGTGGCCCCCTTGGAGGCTGACTTGACGTGGGGAGGGGAGGGGAGGTGGCCCGGAAGGACCTTATGAGCCCCTATGCACCCTTCCTAGAACCACATCACGGCGGGGGCCAAACGGGTGGTCATCAGCGCACCCTCACCGGACGCACCCATGTTCGTCATGGGTGTCAATGAAAAGGACTATAACCCCAACAGCATGAAGGTCGTCAGGTAACTGCGGG